CAATAATAAGTGGGATTATTAGTACCTAGATTATTGTTCCCACAAGGATAATAACTCTAAATAATCCCATTTATTACTTGATGCGTGCACTTGCGCGACTAGGGTCAATATCTTGAGAACGAATGAGTTTTCTCTTTATAGATTAAGTAAGCGAACGTCCTACAAAGCACCTAGTACCCAACAAGTTTACACTAAATTTTGCTTTTGAAACTATTCTACTTTGCACTTTGTTAATATTATTCTTTATTCTTTCTTTATTTGTTAAACTGTTGTTAACTTTGTTTATGTGTCATGGTTTATGAGTGAAGAACTTGAAACTGATTCTTATTCTGATACTGAGGTACTTTTCTTTCTCTTTGATCCTGAACCTGAATGCACTTTTCATAGAAGAAGAAGAGATTTAAGGAGAAATAACTCAGAACCAGAGATGGCTGATCACGTTAGTCATAATAATAAAGAAATTCCTCCTGAACAAAATTTTAGAGCATTGGGTCCTCCTTCAAGGAACTGACTAGAAAGAGCAGTAGTTTTCCCTCCAATAGAAGCTCTCAACTTTGAGCTTAAACCTATCATGTTCAATATTATGTCCGCTAGAGTTTTTAATGGACTTCCAACAGAAGATCCATACACAGATCTTAATAATTTTCAAGATATTTATGGCAGAATATGAAAGTCAAATTGGCCTTGAAGGCCGAAGCATGTGAGAGGGAAGAACAAAATTTTTCATGCGGAATCACACATGCGATCAAGACTCATGCTTTAAGACAACATGATGTTACCTTCATTTGTGATTCAAACACCAAGGAGATCAGTGTAAGGTTTGAAGGGTTCAAACCCTCTAACGTTGATCCACACCACCCACGTCAAGATGCAAGAACTCTTCTTGAAAAGCCACCAATTGATCACCACAAAAACTTGCTAGGCGTCCAATGTGTGAAGAAGGAGGCTAGGTTAAAGTGTTTAGATGAGTTAAATTTTCAGCTTAAAACTCCACAAAAGTGGCGCATGGATTTGATGATATATGGCTAGGTTATTTTTCAAAACCTCTTAAGAAAAACCTAACAAAAGGATGACCAAAAGAGATGAGAGAACTATCAACATTGGATCAGATTTTTCTCTAAAAATCTGACCATAAGTAGCGCACAATAAAGAGGAAAATGGAGTTGTTGCAAAATCAAATCTTGCCAACAACCTCCTATGATATCCTCATGATATCAAGTCAATATCTTAACAAAAATCTGACTTAACAAACATCATATGGCAAGCCATATGGTGCGCCCAATTCAGCCCCAAAAACAGTCCAGATACGTTGTGTAGTTGCATTCAAATTTGAACCAACTACCTCACTGATTCTCTCAACAAACCAAATCTGATTTGGAGCTTATTTGGTTGACAAGATGACACTCACACAACCAAAGTGACGCCCCAAATTCAGCCTTGGATGTGATCAAAGATCTCCTCTTGATACTAGGGATTTGTTCCAACAAGATCTTATCTTATCCTTTTGTTATGAAACAACTTTTCATAGCCAATTAAAAATTCGAATTCAAACATTTAAATTCAAACGTTCAAACATTTAAATTCAAAATTCAAAATTCAAAATTCAAATTCAAAATTCAAAATTCAAAATTCAAAATTCAAAATTCAAATTTCAAATTTCAAATTCAAAATTCAAATTTCAAATTTCAAATTTCAAATTCAAAATTCAAAATTTAAATATTTGATAATTAATTTAACTAATTAAATTAATTAGTAATGTCTTGGACCATTCAAGCCGATTACATGATCCATGCGCCCTTTTCCCTTTTAGGTGGGCTTCCAAACTTCTTTTTGAGCTAACAACCACTATTAGGCCCAATACCTTTAATTCTATATCATCATGAAAATAAGGTGTTAGTGTGTGACCCATTAACCCCAACATAGCCACTGACATAAATGGGCTTGGGCCTAACAAGCCCACAACCCATCTAATGATAACACAGAGCACTAGAAATGCTTTGTTACCCCAAAGCTAGTTAGGTTAATGACATAATCATCCTATTATACATATTTAGTTACCGTATGTATTTCCTTTCGTCTCGGTTACCTTCCCATTAAACCTAGGGCAACGAAACGTATCAACCCTTGCGGTTTAGGGTAAGCTTTATTCGAAATAAGGAATCTTCAATTTACTGACTCTAAAGGCAGATCATCTCATGATCTCTTTTACTATGCATAGATTCTCGAGTCCTATAAATGTCATCCTGATTTCTCTGGTTTACAGATAACCTAATCCTTTACAGAGATTTGACGAATTCCTTCAGCTTATCACCCTAGGCCTGTGCTCTTTCAGGACATGCCCAAAAATATACCTATGAGTCTCCATGTTTCAGGCAGACGAGGTATACAATCAAAACATGCCTTTAGAACACAGTCTAGGTGACAACTTATGGTCTAAGGAAAGACATACCCAAATATTAAGAGACTGCTCTAATGATACTTTTGTAAGATTTCCTCATGGAGTCTTGGGCTTGAAAATGGAGAAAAGCTCCAACTTGAAGAATGAAGAAGAAGGTGGCAGCCTATGCACCAGAAAATCCCACGTGGAAGAGTGAAATTCTGACCTAGAAGAGTGTGCCAATTAGTATTTATAGTTCACTTAAGTTTAATCTGTCGGTATTAGCGCTAATAGCTCCGTTAATCATTTTAATCTCAAACTTCATATTCTGAACCTAGCCATATTTTTAGGATTTGTCATATTTTTATTATAATTTTTCGCAACACTTTGCCGGTACGTATTTTCACGTTGCCGGTATTAGTTCTAACACCAATACTCATTATTATGACTTCAAACTTGATATTCTTGACTTAATTATTAATCTAGGAATATTCATGTACTTATTATAATTTATCGGGATACTTCATCGGTATGCATTTATACCATGAAACAGAACCGATATATGCATTTTTCGTCAGAAAAGCGACTTTCAACGTTATTAAGCCCCTACTATAATTATTTGGGTCTTCTCATAATTATTCTAGGTCAATTATGGAATTATTTCCTATTTTCATAATTAAATCGTTTAAGTTCCTAATTTAGCGGTGCTGGTTCTTACACCCCTGGATCTATACATTCGTGGGAGGAACTTTCTAACAAGTTCATAGAAAGATTTCTTCCCATGACCCGTGTACCTGATGTAAGAGCAGAAATATCAAGTTTCAGAATATTTTATGGAGAAAATGTCTATGAAATGGGAATGGTACATGGACATAATCAGGAAATATCCTAACCATGAGGTAGAAAAATGGAGAGTTCTCCAAACTTTTTACAAAGGTATAGATCATACTTCTCAATCTCGCATAGACTTTGCTGCAGGAGGCTATTTTTTTACAGGAACCTTTGAAACCCTTGAATCCCGTTATGAAATTATAGAAAGCACTGCGGAATGATGTCTTCAATGGCATCTAGAAAGAATGAGTTCAATCAGGAAGCCTGGTATGCTGGATATAGACAAACAGACTGCCATAGAAGCTCAGTTGATAACTCTGATGAATGAATTAAAGAGCTTGAAGGCTGACAAAAACCAGTACAAGGCCAATGTCTCTCAATTCACAACTCCAGAAATTGAGTCCTGCCCAACCTGTGGTGGTGAACATGATTCAACAGACTGTCTCTTGACAGCACCAGTATGCTATGTAGAAAATTTTGGGGGCAGCAACTTCAATCAACCCAAGGAAAACAGCTATATAGGTTGCAATAGCAACCAAAGCTATAGAATCACAACCCTCAATGGAGACCACCCACCAATCAAAGACTATACAACAATCAACAACAACCACGTAACAACAACAATGGAAGCAATAGAGCATTTGATCAGAAAAGAAGACCAAATAATGCTCCGTTCCTTAGAGATGAACAATGCATCAATTCCTTGTAAAACTATGTGAAAGAGTATATCACAAGGAATGATGTTGTTGTTAGAAACAATGAGACTCATTTGGGTCAGATAGTTGCAAATCTTAGCACCAGAGCACCAGGGAAATTTCTAGAGGATACTGAAGTCCCTTCAACCTCATTGTGACATACAACAAAACCATACAATAATCAACAACAACCACGGAACAACAACAATGGAAGCAATGGAGCATTAGATCAGAACAGAAGACCAAATAATGCTCTGTTCCCTAGAGATGAACAACATATCATTTGCTTGGAAAACTGTGTGAAAGAGTATGTCCCAAGAAATGATGCTATTGTTAGAAACATTGAGACCCATTTGGGTCAGATAGCTGCATCTCTCAGCACCAGAGCACCAGGGGACACTGAAGTCCCTTCAACTTCCTCAATAGAAAAGGTAAAAGTAATTGAGAAGTGGAGGAACTGCCAATTAATCCATAAATGCTTTCAAGGCAGCTTCCAAAAGAACTGAGAGAGAGCTTGTCAATTCACCAAAAGCACCAGCAAGAGTTTTGCATCCTGAACATCAACAAGAGAGTGCAGCTGGTCCAAGTTCAAAAAATCAAGGACCCAAGGAATGAACAGTGCCTGATGAACAAGAACAAGCTCAAGCTAGAACAACTTAATTTGCAGAGCCCCCACAAAAGAAGAGCAAAACAGTCACAGTTCTGTTCCCTCAAAGAACAAAGTAGAAGCAAGATGATAAACAATTTGGCAAATTCCTGAGCATCCTAAAGCAGCTTCATATAAACATTCCTTTGGTGGAAGCCTTGGAACAAATGCCCATATATGTCAAGTTTATGAAAGACGTTCTCTCCAAAAAGAGACGTATGGAAGAATATGAGACTGTAGCTTTGAGACAGGAAAGCAGCAAATACTTGGGCAAACTTCCACCTAAGTTACAAGACCCTGAGAGTTTTACCATCCCTTGTGTCATAGGGAATAGCTACCAAGGCAAAGCCTTGTGTGATTTGGGAGAAAACATCAACCTGATACCCTCCTCAGTTTTCAAACAACTTGCCATAGATCAATTGTCAAGCCACAAGGAAAAGTGGAAGATTTGTTAGTCAAAGTGGACAAATTCATTTTTCATGCTGATTACATCATTCTGGATTATGAAGATGATGTTGGCGTTCCCATTAAGGTACCCAAAGGCTCCTTCCTTCCTAGCCTGAAACACTGATATATAAGGAGAAGAACTGGTAATAGAATCACACGGGGACATTACTACTTTCTTGGCACAACAATCTATCATCACGCAGTTCCTTGCCAACCAATCCATACCCAAGATGATCTTGTTGACCATGGGTAGACAAATAAGGTCCATCGAATAATCTCGGCCATCCAACTGAAATGCCACATCACGATAGATGAATGAAGTATCGCACTTATCCCTAGTGGCAGTGGTAACCCGCAAAGGTGGAGAAAGCTCATAAATGGGCAAATCTAACCCCACAACATTTGGGCCCGCAATGAATGAATGTGTCGCCCTAGAATCAAATAATACATCAAAATCATGATCACCAATAGAGTTAGTACTACGAACAAGGTTCGGAGCTCGGTCCGACTGCTGACGATCAAAGATATAAACTATACTAGTAACTGGTGGCACTGTAGGTGGTGCAGGTGCAGGTGGTTGTACAGGAATCATATGAAGTGGTGCAACCTGAGCAACCGCAGCACTAGCAACGAGTGTAAGACAGTCTCTGGCAAAGTACCCCTCCTTGCCACACTTGAAACAAACAATCTTCCCTATAGCATAGGGTCCTATATACATCTTCCTACAACCAACACACTTTGTAATAGTCGAAGGTCTAGTAAAGCTGCCTGCCCGAGTAATAGTCCTCTTGAACTGCTGATATGATTTCTTCGCTTGAAGACCTTTGCCTTTGTTCCTACTATCAAATCTCCTATCTTTACCATGAGTAGAAGTACCCGCTCATCTCTCCTCAGACACTTTGGCCTTCTTGGCCTTGCTCACCATATAAACATCCTCAATGTCACGAGACTGCTGAATCAAAGTGCCGAAGTCTCTAGATGCTACTCCAATAATCCTATCTGCTATCTCTTCACTGAGGCCTCTACTGAATTTAGAAGCCAAAAAATCCTATGACGGCATCGCCATACGAAAATGAGCAAACTTGGCTAACTTAATAAATATAGCCAAATACTCATCCATAGACATCAAGCCCTGTATAAGACATTCGAACTCTCCCTGCTTGCGCTCCATCGCATCATATGGGAAATACTTCCCCAAAAATAGCTCCTCAAAAAATGGCCTTGTCACGATCTGGCTGTTGCGACTCGGCAAGTGCACCGATCGTGAAAGTAATAAAGAGTACCGGAGTACGAGATCGTTCCCACGAGGATAAAAAATTCAAGAACTAGTTCGCTAATTGCGTTTTAGTTGGACAATCAAAGGTTTGGTTTGAGAGAATTTAGATGAAGAGAATTGTGGTTCGAAGAACTTAAAATTAAAAACAAGTAAAAGCATGCAATATAAAAATTCAGAATTAAAAGGATGAATGAAGATGATGTTTGATTAAGATTTAAAACAAGCGTAGTTAAGGTTTCGACTTCCCCCAATATCCTTAATATGTTATGAATTAAATGACCAAGAATCCGTTTCTTAACATATTGCCAATCAATTCTATCTGAGTTAATTACGGCTCAATTCCTTGTTACCATAAATCTATGTAATCTTGAAAGAACTCTAGTTCCCCAATTATTCCCCAAGAAACCATGCATTAAGATCAAGAATTTCAAGATTGCATAATTACCCTATGTCTATTCCTAGATCACAAGGATTATGATAAATTATTAAGTCAAGGTTCATGCACCAACATCCCTATTGTCATACAATTCCCCAAAATCATTCTATAAGGAACAAACTCATAGAAGGCATTAAAAACAGATAATTTATTCAATTATAAAAAGAACAGGATTCAGAGACAATTTAATTCATAAACATAAAGATTTAATTGGGTTCCATCTACCCTTAACTACATAAAAGACTACTCTAGCATACTGAATTGAAAAGAAATAATAAAGAAAAGAGAACCCCAAGCCTCCATTGGTGTGATGTTAACTTGGTTCCTCAGTGTTCCAGCGCTCCGCAACAGGATTCCTCCTTGGAGTATGAATGAGGATGAATGAATTTCTGAATTGGTGAATGAGTGAGTTGGTCTGCTCCCAAGCTTCTTATTTATAACCATAGGAGTTGTATCCATTATTAAATCTCCCAATGAATCCATATCAGATTTGTATTTGATTTCATCTTTGTTTCCTTTTTGCATGTAATATCTTGGATATTTGTTTGACGAATTAGAGCTTCAAATCTTTGTTGTATCTTCATCACATCTTCCCATTGGATTTATATCTTATTTCAAATCAAGGTTGATGTGTTTCCTCCTTGTATCTTTGTGGAATCTATTGCGTATCTTGATTAAATCTTTCCTGGAGTTGGCTTGACCGTGTATGGACATTTTAGCGTGTTGTAGCGCGCTAAAACGTTCTTGATGTGTATTATTTTCTTCCTTCACACGTTTTGGCGTCCATTAGCACGCCAAAACGTGCTCTTCGAATGGTTTTGGTTGTTTTCAGGACGTTTTGGCGTGCTGTTGTGCGCCAAAACGTTCCCTCCAGGGGGCAATGGTGTTTTTCTTCCTTTTCTGCGTTTAAACATGCTTTATGGACGCCAAAACGTCCTCTTTCAGCTGGCACACACTTGAAATCTTGCTTTCTTGCGACTTGAACTCACTTTGATGTCTTCCTTTTGTTCCAAAATGCCATAATATGTGTCAAAAACCCTTGTAGATTAGCATTATGACAACATGTTAGCAAGATATTCAATTACTGTAACTTTACAGCATAAAACCCTAATTTCCATGCAATTCATAACATATATGAATCATAATTAAGCCTAAAAACATGGTAAACCAAGGGTTTATCAACCATTCCCAGATTTGAACATTGCTATCTTCAGCAATTCACTAGAATAAACTTAATTGAATTCAGTCAAGATTTCTAATTGCATGGAATTCACATGCATGATTTAATCAAAGAAATGACTACAGAGCATTTAGACTTAAGGAAAGGATGATACATCAAAACAATAAGATCAATAATTCATCAGTAAAACTTTTAATGAAATTCCTTAAGATCAAGAACAGGGGAAACTTCCTGAGACACTCCCTCACTAGGTTTATAATTCACTCTCGCTCAACTTTGTAGAGGGTTGGTGTTTCTTTCTTATTCCACTGAATTAACACTACCATAGGCTTGCTTATATTCTCGCTCTCCACAGTTCTTATGATAAATCAAGCAGATCAAGAGGTCTTTCGTAAGGTTGTAACGTGGCCTGGTGAAAGGGAAGGATAGAAATTGGGACAAAAGTTTAAGATCAATTCAGATTAAGGAATGGAACAAGTGTTGTGCGTTTCTTCCGGCTGTAAAGCTTTTCTTCTTCTCTCCAGTTCTTTATTTAAACCTTCTCTTTTGTCATTTTCTTTCTAAGCATATTTTCTTGCTTTTCACTTCTTTTCCTTTCTTTGTTTTGAGCATTTTGCTCGCTTTTCTTGAGTCTAACCAACTGTTCCTTTTTCTTTCTTCTTTGGGCTTTGCCCTTTTGCTTGTACTTCTTTATTCCGTTGAACGCCTGCATAGTTGAAACTCATATCCACTCCTTACTTGAAATCTGAAATTAATCTGCTATTAAGGTGAGGATTCAATTGGGGAAGTGGCTATTCACATTCAAGGTTATTCATGAACAAAAAAGTCTAGACTCAAGGGGGCTTAACTAAGGAATATCATCAAGGTTAGCTATTTGGCCATCTAGTTAGAAAAAGAACATGCCTCTGTCATCTCTACAGTATAAATCACAGACTATTTTAATTAAGAAACCAAGCAAGTTCTAGAGTATCTCAACAATGGAATGCACACTCAATAAAAATTTTCTGTATAGGCTCAAAACCTCACGGTTATGAATGCACAGTAATTTCCTTGTTCTTTTTCTCAAATAACTTCAATATCAAACAATATTTTCAATGAATCATGTCACTTATTGCAATGATGTTCATAAAAGTGAATATGGGTAAGTGCATCATCATGCTCTGAATCAATTGCTGATTTAAACTTCCCGCCATTTTTCCAATAAAAAAAAACACTAAGAAACTTTGAAAAATTTGTAAGAATCTTCACAAAAAATTTTGGCTTGGGGTTTTTCAACGAAAACAATTAAAATTATCTAATTAAAAAATGCATGAAAAACATAAAAACAAGAATTAAAAATTGTATGAAAAAGGGATTTGAGATATTTCCCTGTCTTGACCGGAGATTCTGTGTATACTCATGAAAATTCCTCCGGTCTCAATCCAATGTGCTTAGATGGAACGCGCATTCTCCATTCCCAGATTTAAATTTTTCTGTCCTCAACAACAGATTTAAATCTAAAAATAATTTGTGTGCAAGCTAAGCATAACTAGTCGCTTATTCTGAAACAACATGAAACAATCTAAACTCATCAGTCATAGAAGTGATAGTATGAAAACATGTGACAGGGTTAGCATATTAAAATGCGAATCTCAAATCACAAAATAACAGAAAATAAAAGGGAAAGTATGGGATGAGGGTGGTATCAGTCGTCCATGTCATCATCCTTAGCGTCTCGGACAATGGCAGGTATCATCTCTGTATCAGTATCCTCCGCAGCATGTGAAGTCGTGGCCTGAGCTGTCGAAGCGATCCTCCTAGCAGCATCAAAAGTGGCCTCCCCATCTGAACCATTATAAGGTGTGGGCTGGAAAGGTGGAGGTCCATCTGGTCTGGCAGGGTGATGATGTATAGTCATGTAAGTCTGATACTCCTGCTCCCTGTGATCCATATGCCTCAGCCGCCGCCTAAGAAATCCCATCTGTGTCTCCATATCATCCAGTCGGCTGTCAGTAGTCGCAACTGGTGGTCTCTCAACTGGAGCAGATGGTCTAGGTGCACGTTGCGGTCTGCCGCGAGTCTCTGGTGGTGGCACTGGGTCATCATCGTCAGTAACAAAGGAGCCTCCTATGTAAGTAGAAATGTATTTTGCATCTATGATGGGCTTCAATGGGATGGTATCTCCTTCAATAGAAATCTTTACTCCTGCTGCTGCACATAAACTCTGAATCAGAGAGGCATGTCCAATGGTGGCTGTCTTGTTCTTTTTATGAGCCAGCTCATAGATACTATCAGCCAGTACCCTAGGCAAATCCACCCGTAGTCCTTCCATAACAGTGTAAATTAATACAACTATCTTCACCACTATCTCAATTTGATTTGAACTGGGCATGATGTTGCTATTAATAAAGTAGTGACAAACCTTGGCTACATTGTTCAGCTGTTTCAGCCAAATCCTCTTTGGGCGGCTGTGATCTTTTGTTGGGTCCCACTTTTCTCCAGGAAGTGTGAGACCTAGAAGTATTGGCTCAGCTACACCAAAAGGATCATTTCTCTCATATTCAACGGTTGCAAGTTTTGTTTGAAACCTGTAAGTCCTCTGTGTAGTTCTGTCATGGTGAGCTATTTGTAGAATTGCTTGAATGGAAGTAGCATTGTATCTCACTGTTTTCTTTCTCATAGAGCTAATATACTCCCTATTTGCTCCCTCTTCTACCGTGTAAGCGTTGGCATAGAATTCTCTTGCCAGCTCTTCATTAGCTTCTATTGGTAACCTCCCAAATGTTCGCCATCCATTGGCCACCATGATGTAGAAATCATGGTGTTGCCCTTGCTTGAGATAGAAAACCCTTTCTCGTACAAAGGATTTTTTCTTGATGTGCTCAATGTACCGGGTAGCATGGGCTGGGGACTTGAACCTGTGTTCATCATAACCAGGTTCAGGTTCAGGTGCTTGCCTTAAGCTTGAACCACCCTTGGGGTTCACCTTGACCCTCTTTTTGCCTCTAGTTGACATTCATGAAAAACAGAAAATTCCAAGTCAATTTACAATTCATGAATCTATTTCAGAAGATAGTATTGGGATTTCTATCTATATTAGAGCACTTTCCTTTTAGCACAAAATTTTGCTACTGAAACTTCCATGTGCATGCTTTACTTGATACTTGTATCTATGCATGATCACTAGTTTGCATTATAGAAGTTTGTTCCTCATTACATGTTTCAACTCAATTGTATATAATCTGTTAAGTAGCCCCAAGCTTACCGACCAAAAAGAAAATCCTACAGCTAAAGCATTTGGTCCAGCATGTATTATGCACTACATGTATGAAACACCCTAACTATGTGAACATGTAATCGATCTTCTTGCAATGCATAGTTTAAGAACAACTCTCTATCTCTTATTTCTGTTGCTAATTCAGTTGAGGACAACCATCATAATAAATTGAGCATTGAAAATAAGGAATTGTAAGCATTTTTAACATTTCATCTTCATTGTTACATTCTGTCGAACAGCTTGTGTGCATGCTTTTGAATGCAAAAAGAGTGAACAATGTGCGGACATGTATATAACCTCAGAAATTTCATGATACAAAATTTGTACAGAGGTTATCATAACACCATTCCCTAATTCCCTATTCAAATCTTGGATTGCTCAATGCCAATCAATTTGTAAAACCATTAGAAATCCAAATCCCCAATTCGTTGGAACCCTAGGTTTTCTCTATCAATTTTACTCCCAAGTTTTTATACCCTCCAATCCTTAGATTCAAATGTGGAATTCATGAATGAAGCATGAAGATTAGGGAAAGAATTTCATACCTGGATTGCCTTGTGGGAGATGAACAACTCGTGTGAGGTAAGGAGAGGGCGTAGAGAGATGAGAGTGAGTTGATGGGGAAGAAATTGTGAGAGTGCAGAGTGAGGGGGGGGGGGGGAGAAAGGAATTTAAAACCTTTTTAAAATTTTGGGGACGCGTTAGGGCGTTTTGGCGCACAGTGTGCACGCCAAAACGTTCTAAGCCAGAAAGGTGGCCCCTGTGATCTTAGGAGCACGTTTTGGCGTGCACATGTGCGCGGCATGCACATGTGCGCCAAAACGCTGAGAGGCAGGGGCAATTGCTTATTTTAGTCTTGTAGCACATTTTGGCGTGCATGTGGACGCTAAAACGTGCTGAGGCAGGGACAATTTTTATATTTAAGCTTTAAAATTTCATACCTTAGCCTCTTGAATCCTCGTTTCTTCCTTCTTGAACTCAATCATGACCTTGGCCTCACTTGTCTGTCTCTTTTTTGCTTTTCTTTTTCTTGAAATCAAAATAAACTAAACTAAAATTTAAAATAAAGCAGTAAACTACGGGTTTGCCTACCCGTCAGCGCTTGTTTAACGTCACGAGCCTGATGTACCTTGCTCAAATTACCTCGACAAGGGCAACAATGGTTGTTCCCTTGTCTATTTCTCCTCCCATGTATAGTTTCAGTTGTTGGCCATTCACTGTGATGCTTCTATCGAACTCCAGCAGACTAATCTCCATTGCTCCATATGATTTCATGTTCCTTACGATGAACGGTCCCGACCATCAGGATTTAAGTTTTCCATGGAAGAGACGAAGACGAGAGTTAAAGAGTAATACCTGATTCCCCACTTGAAGTCTCGAGGTAGGATCTTCTTGTCATGCCACTTCTTCGTCTCTTTGTACGAACTCGCACTCTCGTACGCAGATAGTCTGAATCCGTCGAGCTCATCCAGTTGAAGCAATTTTTTCTCAACTGCTGTCTTGGAGTCGAAGTTCAGGTACTTGATTGCCCACAGTGCTTTATGCTCCAATTCTACCGATAAGTGACAAGCTTTCCCGAACAGTAATTGGAAAGGGGACATACCTATTGGTGTCTTGAAGGCAGTCCGGTATGCCCACAGTGCATCATCAAGCTTCTTGGACTAATATTTTCTGGAGCTTCCCACTGTTTTCTCCAAGATACGTTTAAGCTATCGGTTGGAAATCTCCACTTGACCACTTGTTTTCGGATGATATGGTGTTGCAATCTTATGCTTCACGCCGCATTTAGCCAGTACGTATTCCACTTGTCTGTTGTCGAAATGAGTTCCTCCGTCACTTATGATCGCTCGTGGTACTCCATATCGAACGAATATGTTTCTTTTCAAGAATGCAATGACCACCCGAGCATCATCAGTAGGAAGGGCAACAACTTCAACCCATTTGGAGACGTAATCAACCGCAACCAAGATGTATTTGTTGCCATAAGAAGGTGGGAAGGGTCCCATGAAGTCCATTCCCCACAAATCAAAGATCTCAACCTCCAATATGTTGTTGAGGGGCATTTCATGTCTTCTAGAGATGTTCCCCGTTCGCTGAAATCTATCACATGATTCAACGAACTTCCTTGCATCTTTGTAAAGTGTTGGCCAATAAAAACCACTCATCAGCACCTTTGTCGCTGTTCTTTCTCCTGCGAAGTTTCCACCGTAGCTGGAACCATGACAGTGCCACAGGACGTCCTTCATCTCTTCTTATGGAATACAGCGTCTTATTACGCCATCAGCACATCTATAGAAAAGGAAGGGCTTATCCCATAAGTATTTCTTGACGTCATGTAAGAACTTCTTTCTTTGTTGCCATGTTAAGTCTACTGGAATTTCTCCTGCTGCTTTGAAGTTTGCAAAGTCTGCGAACCAAGGTGGTGTACTTGTGGTCTTTACTTCCTTTGGTTGTGGATCCGAGATGACATTGATAGCCATGATTTTCTCATCCGGAAACTCCTCTTTGATCTTCAGCTCAGGTCCGTCTTGAAGATCTTTTTCTTGAATTTTGGAGAGGTGATCAGCTACCAAGTTTTCTACACGTTTCTTGTCTCTGATCTCCACTTCAAATTCTTGAAGGAGCAGCATCCACCTCAGTAGTCGTGGCTTTGCATCCTGATTATTCAAAAAATACTTTAAAGCAGCATGATCAGTGTATACAACTACTTTAGACCCCAGCAAATACGGTCTAAATTTATCAAATGCATAGACAACTGCTAGTAACTCTTTTTCAGTGGTTGCATAATTCTTTTGTGCATCATTCAGAATTTTACTAGCATAATAAATCACATGCAACCATTTATTCTTTCTTTGTCCTAAAATAACTCATATGGCATAATCATTAGCATCACATATTAATTCAAAAGGGAGTGTGGAATCAGGTGCAGTGATAATAGGTGCAGTGGTCAATTGATCTTTTAAAATATTAAATGCTACCAAATATTCGTCTGAGAAGTTGAATTCCTCATCTTTGACCAACAGCTTGCATAGTGGTTTTGCTATCTTGGAAAAGTCTTTGATAAAGCGTCTGTAGAAACCTGCATGACCAAGAAAACTTCGAATACCTTTAACGTTAGAGGGAGGGGGAAGTTTCTCAATAACAGATATCTTAGCTCTATCTACTTCTATACCAGCTTGGGACACTTTATGTCCTAAAACTATGCCATCTTTCACCATGAAGTGGCATTTTTCCCAGTTTAAAACAAGATTACTCTCTTGACATCTTTGCAAAACATTAGATAAATTTTCTAAACAATTGTCAAAAGAGAGACCAAAAACAAAAAAGTCATCCATGAAGATTTCAATAGATTTCTCAATCATATCATAAAAGATAGAAAGTATACACCTTTGGAAAGTTGCAGGAGCGTTGCACAAGCCGAAGGGCATCCTCCAGTAAGCGAAGACTCCGTAAGGGCATGTGAATGCTGTCTTTTCTTGATCTTCTGGAGCTACTGCTATTTGGTTGTAGCATGAGTACCCATCCAGGAAGCAGTAAAAGGCATGGCTAGCTTTCCAACATCTGGTCCAAGAAAGGAAATGGGAAGTGGTCCTTCCGAGTGGCTGTATTAAGTCTTCTGTAGTCAAAGCACATCCTCTACCCAGTGACTGTCCTTGTTGAAATCAACTCATTGTTCTCATTCTTCACCACGGTGGCTCCACCTTTCTTGGGTACTGTTTGTACAGGACTTACCTATGCACTATCAGATATAGGGTAGATCATACCTGCATCCAATAGTTTTACTACTTCTTTCCTAACCACTTTTTTCATGGTTGGATTGAGTCTCCTTTGCGGCTGCCTCACAGGTTTCATATCATCTTCCATTAGAATTTTATGAGTACAAAATGAAGGATTTATACCTTTCAGGTCGGAGAAGGACCATCCTATGGCAGCTTTGTGTTTCTTCAGAACTTTGAGAAGCTTATCTTCTTCTACGGTTGTTAGCTCAACATTGATGATGACTAGATATGTATCGTTATTACCCAGGAAGGCATATTTTAAATTTGGAGATAACTCCTTAAGCTCAACCTTCGGTGCTCCAAGAGGGATGTCATCTTTCTTTCTTTTAAGTTCTTCCACCACTAGTTCTTTATCATTTATTTCAAGTTCTTCGTTGATTTGTTCTAACTCAAGCGAGAAAATCTCCTCTTTCATAGCATCATCAATTGCTTCTTGTATTATGTCTATCATAAAATAGTCTTCTCCATCTGTTGGATGTTTCATTGATTCGAAGACGTCAATGGTGACTGTTTCTTCGTTCACCCTCAGCATCAGTTTTCCTTGCTCCACATCGATCATTGCTCTTGCAGTGGCCAAGAATGGCCTTCCAAGTAATAGGGGAATCTCGGTGTCTTCTTCCATATTCAGAACTACAAAATCTGCAGGGAAGATAAATTTGTCAATTTTAACTAAAACATCCTCAATTACCCCATCTGGTCGTCTGATCGATTTGTCAGCTAACTGGAGAAAAACGGTAGTAGGCTTGAGCTCCTTGATTCCAAGAGCTCTGCACATGGACAGTGGCATCAGGTTGATACTTGCTCCAAGATCACATAATGCTTTTCCAACTTCAATGTTTCCTATTTCAATAAGAATACTGAAGCTTCCTGGATCTTTCATCTTGGGAGGAAGTTTCTTCTGGATGATTGCACTGCACTCCTCTGTCAAGGCCATTGTTTCGCATTCCTTCAACTTGCGTTTCTTTGATAGAAGGTCTTTCATGAACTTCGCATAGTTCAGCATGCTTTCCAGGGCTTCTGCGAAAGGAATGTTGACTTGCAGCTTTTTGAAGATGTCCAGAAATTTGGTGTATTGCTGCTTCTGGACTTATTGTTTCCACCGCTGAGGGTATTGAACTTTTGCATAAGGAGACAGATCTGCTGCTTTTGGTTGTTTGTCCAAAGCTTTCTTTTTCTCCTATTTGAATAGTTTCCTCTCTAGAATGCTCTTCTCGGCTTCTACTGCATCTTCTTCTTTCTTTTTCTCAGCTTCAGGTTCAGCTTCAAGTTCGACTTCAGGTTCGGCTTCTTTCTTCTTTTCAACTGGTGGTTTTTCCACAGGCTGAATCACGATCCCACTTCTTGTGACAATTGCATTACATTGTGCCTTTGGGTTCATGTCGGTGTTACTTGGAAATATGCCCTGGGTTCTTTCAGTGAACTGCCTTGATAGCTGACCAATTTGAGTCTCCAAGTTCCGGATCGAAGCTTCTTGATTCTGGAAGGAAGCTCTTGTTTCATCTCTGAAGGCATCTGCATTTTGAATGTAGTCGGATGTTGTTTTGGATAACTGTGCAAAATCCTTCTCCCATTCTGATGTGGTGCCTTGAGGTTTTTGTTGCAATGGCATAGGAGGATTCAGCTGGTAGTTTGACTTGTAACTCAACCCAGGGTGTTGATTATTATTCTTCCACCCTTGATTACCATATTGATTCCTTCCTGGATTGTTCGAGTTCTTTTGATCATACCAGAGTCCATCGACCTCCACTGGTGGATTTTCCGTGTTTCTGATGTATTCACAATCCTCAGTTGCATGAGCCTCCTGACAAATATCACATTTAATGTTAGCATTAGAAACAGAATAAACTTGAGAAGGATTAAATTTCTTATTAAGGGCATCTAATTGTTCTTGTTGTTTCTTGTGCATTTGTAGCATTTGTTCATTCTGGGCTAAGAGTGCATCATAGCCTTCAAGCTTCATGATCCCTGATCTTCTTGGTGCAACTGGAGCAGGAGCATTGTCAAATTCTTGAGATGCTAATGATTCCAACAATTCAAGTGCTTCCTCAGGAGTTTTTGTTTTCAATGAGCCTCCTGAAGCGGCATTTACCAATGTTCTTGTGTTGGCTGTCATCCCTTGGAGAAAGATTTTTGCCTTCTCCCATGCTTCAATTCCGTGTTGAGGACACTTTCGGAGTAATCCTTTGAATCGTGTCCAAGCCTCGTACAAAGATTTGCTTTCTTTTTGTTCAAAAGTTGCGATCTCCGCCTTGAGCCTAGCCATCTTTGAAGCTGAGAAAAATCTGGCCAAGAATTTAGCGGCTAAGTCATCCCAACTGGTTATACTTCCTTCAGGTTGAGACTGCAACCAATCTCTTGCTTCATCTTTCAGTGAGCATGGGAATAGCCTGAGCAATATAGCACCACGAGAAACTCCATTCACTTTTAATGTATCACAGTAAAGCAAAAAGTCATCAAGATGACAATAGGGGTTCTCTGTGCTTCCTCCAGTGAACTGTTCTATTTGAATCAGTTGCAGTAATGCCGGCTTCAGGTCAAAGTTGTTAGCCTCTATGTTGGGTCTATCAATGCTCGCTATCTGTGGAGCTTGAGTTGGGGTCATGTAATCCCTCAATGTCCTTCGAACAATTTGATTGTTGTTTTCTGCCATTGGTTCTTCCTTAGGTTCCTCTTTTGGTTTTTCCTTTGTTTCCGTAGAAGTTGATGTTGTTTTTGTTTCTTTCGCTTTCTTTGTTTTTGCGTCTTTCCTAAGTTTCCTCTCTATCTTTTCTATCTCAGGATCAAACTGCAAGAGTCGCGGGTTAGAAGTACCTCGCATAAACTAAGATTTGAAAAGATATGCAGAAAAATAGGAAACACAAAACAAAAAATAGAAAAGAAAAGAATGCAGAAAATTAAATATGCAGAAAAATATGCAAAATTTTTGTATGCAGAAAATGTTTTTATGGTATGCTTAAAGTGCAGAAAAAATAAACGTCCAATCTAAAATTTAATTAGTTACTTCTAATGTTGAAGAAATCAATCCCCGACAACGGCGCCAAAAACTTGTTGCGAATCGGCAAGTGCACCGGTCGTGAAAGTAATAAAGTGCACCGGAGTACGAGATCGTTCCCACGAGGATCAGAATTTCAAGAACTAGTTTGCTAATTGCGTTTTAGTTGGACAATCAAAGGGTTGGTTTGAGAGAATTTAGATAAAGAGAATTGTGGTTCAAAGAACTTAAAATTAAAAAACAAGTAAAGGCATGCAATATGAAAATTCAGAATTAAAAGGATGAATAAAGATGATGTTTGATTAAGATTTAAAACAAGCGTAGTTAAGGTTTCGACTTCCCCTAATATCCTCAATATGTTATGAATTAAATAGCCAAGAATACGTTTCTTAATATATTGCCAGTCAATTCTATCTTAGTTAATTACAGCTCAATTCCTTGTTACGATAAATCTATGTAATCTTGAAAGATCTCTAGTTTCCCGATTATTCCCCAAGAAAACATGTATTAAGATCAAGGATTACAAGATTGCATAATTACCCTATGTCTATTCCTATTCCTATTCCTAGATCACAAGGATTATGATAAATTATCAAGTCAAGGTTCATGCACCAACATCCCTATTATCATACAATTCCCCAAAATCATTCTATAAGGAACAAACTCTTAGAAAGCATTAAAGACAGATAATTTATTCAATTATAAAAAGAACAGGATTCAGAGACAATTTAATTCATAAACATAAAGATTCAATTGGGTTCCATCTACCCTTAACTACATAAAAGACTACTCTAGCATACTGAATTGAAAAGAAATAATAAAGAAAAGAGAACCCCAAGCCTCTATTGGTGTTATGTTGACTTGGTTCCTCAGTGTTCCCGCGCTCCGCAACAGGATTCCTCCGTGTAGCTTGAATGAGTATGAATTTCTGAATTGGTGAATGAGTGAGTTGGTTTGCTCCCAAGCTTCTTATTTATAACCATAGGAGTTGTATCCATCATTAAATCTCCCAATGAATCCATATCAGATTTGTATTTGATTTCATCTTTGTTTCCTTTTTGCATGTAATATCTTGGAGATTTGGTTAACGAATTAGAGCTTCAAATCTTTGTTGTATCTTCATCACATCTTCCCATTGGATTTATATCTTATTTCAAATCAAGGTTGAGGTGTTTCCTCTTTGTATCTTCATGGAATTTGCTGCATATCTTGATTACATCTTTCCTGGAGTTGCTTTGACCGTTCATGGACGTTTTAGCGTGCTGTTTGTGCGCTAAAACGTTCTTGATGTGTATTCTTTTCTGCCTTCACACGTTTTGGCGTCCATTAGCACGCCAAAACGTGCTCTTCGAATGGTTTTGGTTGTTTTCTGGACGTTTTGGCGTGCTGTTGTGCGCCAAAATGTCTCCTCCAGGGGCAAAGGTGTTTTTCTTCCTTTTGTGCGTTTAAACATGCTTCATGGATGCCAAAACGTCCTCCTTCAGCTGGTACACACTTGAAATCTTGCTTCTTTGAGGTTTGAACTCTTCTTGTTGTATTTCTTTGGCTTCAAAAAAGCCATAATAGATGTCAAAAATCCTTTGAAATAAGAAATATGACAACATGTTAGCAAGATATTCAATTATTGTAACTTTGCGGTATAAAACCCTAATTTTCATGCAATTCACAACATATATCAATCATATTTAAGCCTAAAAACATGGTAAACCAAGGGTTTATCATGAGGCAAGGCAAGCCGGTAGGCAACAGGTATTACGCTACCAAGTATCTGGTATGGCCCAATCAATCGCGGGCTCAGCTTCCTCACTCCGAGTGCCCGTCCAACACCGATGACAGGTGAAAGCCTCACAAACACGTGCTCACCCTCACTGAATTCTAGTGGACGATGCTTTACATCATAATAGTTCTTCTGGCGATTCTGCGCCTGCTTCAGCTTTTCTCTGATCAACTGGATCTGCTGGGTAGTATCTTGGACAAAGTCCAAGCCGAACAATTCCTTATCTCCAACTAGGGTTGGAAAAAACGAGCCAACCTGTCGGGTTGGCTCACAACCCGTTATAAATGAGTCGGGTTGGGTTGGCCTAAATGAGCTTCCAACTCGATTCAACCCGACTCGATACAACCCGGACCAAAACGAGCCATCCCGCGGGTTAGACGGGCCAGCTCGCGGGTTGGGTATTTTTATTTATTTATTAAAAAGCACAAAAGAAACCTAAAGGCTAAAACGCATACGCAGCCGTGACAAGAGCTACAACTCCATACCCACATCGAAGGCCACCATAGTTCTTCCTCTCACCGTCGCACAAACCCACAACCATCTCACCGCCAGAAGCCACCACTATTGAGCTGCCACTGCCCGCCATCTCCACACCCATTGACCAGCCACCGCACCACCACCAAGACCCATAAGCTTCAAAACCCTTGCTCCACCACCTTTTTCGGCCAACAACCACCGCGGGACCACCATCATCACCGATCCAACAGATCTTGGAAACCACCACCGGCGACCCATCACCGGCAAGACCCATTCCCTTCCCTCCGAAAGATGTCCCAAAGAGCACCACCTGTTTCTGTTGTTTCTTTAGAGATAGCAGATTAGTAGGCACATCATTTGTTTGGAAAGATTTTTCCATTGATTTTATGGTTCTTCAAGAATTCAGCAACCTGAGCATGAAGCTCTTTCTCATCGCCTTGTGTGTTTTCTTTAATTTTGAAATAACATAGTGCTGTTCATCAGTTATTGTAACTCGAAGTGTATGAGTCGAATAATTTTTTGAGCCAACCCGCGAGCTAACCCGAACCCGACTTGGGTCGAGTTGGGTTGAGTTTTTTGGCTCTTTTTATTTTCGAGCCAACCCTAACCCAACTCGTTTTTTTCAGGTTATAAACGGGTTGGGCCGGGTCGAGCCGGGTTGGCCCGTTTTGCCAACCCTATCTCCAACCTCAGACCAGCAGGTAGAAGTCCGACACCTCCTACCATACAGCGCCTCGTAGAGTGCCATGCCCAGGCT